TAGGGCGTAGGAATTGAGGTCAGTTCCAATAATTTTACAAACCTGGAATTATAATTCTCTAAAGGACTATTTTGGACCCCATTACTCTATCTTCTCCTTAGTGAAAATGCCTCAGTTAAGCACCCTGTACCACACACACATGCACACACACAAAAAAAAAAGGCAGAAGACCTCTCTCCAGAGTGAGCCTGGGGCAGGTGAAAGGTTGGGTTTGTCAAATCAGACTGCCAGCTATACATTGCCATCATAGCACCAACAGTCACCAGGGGATGTTGTTTCCTGATGGGGTTCAAGTCTAGATGCTCAGGTATATGCAGTCTGATGCTGTTCATCATCACACAGAGCTCATAAAACAACTGGTTTGGCCACTTACTTACAGGAAATCTTTCCAAATTTATAAGATGTACTGCATTTTATAATGCACATATATATATATATATTTGTAAAATCATTCTTTTGAGGAAAAAGCAGAAGTATGGCCCTAAGCCTTTCTGATGTGCACCTGTAAAACTTCCTAGTAGGACTCTGTATGACTATCTGAAATCCTGTGATCCACATGTTAATCATGACAAAAATAGGGAGAAAAAAAAAAACCCACAACCTTAACAACTTCAGAGGTAAATTGACATTCTTCCTTCCTCAGCCTGCTATTATCTTCCATCTTCCCTAGAACCAGCATTTTATACCTGTTCTAACCCACATTTCTAGTTTTTAATATCATAACTGTTTTTTAATTGCTTTCAAACTGAATATTGAATGCCTTCAATACAAATGCATTCAACTCTTAGCTACCTTCTCACCTGAAGCACCAGCACAAGAAGCTCTGCACAGTATCTTGCGAGCAAGACCAATTAAACAACATTTTTCTTTTCTGGTTGGCTTTAACCCTATTCTAATCAAGTACTTACTAAATTCCTTTCCGCAAAGCTCACACACAAATCCCACTGACAAGTGGGAAGGAACAAGCTAAAAGCCTGAGGAGAGCAGGATGGAGAGCAGCCTTCCCCAGGGATGAAGAGCCTGTTTGCGCAGACAGGCTAACAGCGGCTGCCATCTGCCGGCTAGAAAAAAAAAAAACAAACCAACCCTAAAAATTTAAGAAATCATCCCTCGAAGCAACCTCTCGATCCGAATCCAAACTTTGACGCGCTATATCTGGCCCACTGGAGGAAACGTGCCCGCCTCGTCGCTTCCCGGGGCTCAGCTGCGATGCTGGAGCGCGGAGCCAGCCCCGACCCGTTCGCGTGGGAGAAACACCCACGCCGCGTGGGGCCCAGGGTGCTGCCGGACGGACACGTTGTTAGAGCTTGTAGGATACTTGAAGGATCCAAACCTGAACATACGGTGCAGGAAAAACTAGCTGCCCAGCTAGTGTTCTCTTACTGGAGGAGCTTCCAGGTGACTAAAAGATGGAAAGCGGCACTACAGAGTGGCGTGGGTGAAACACCACGAACAGCTGCTGGAAAGAAAGCAGCGTGCACAAACCCTGTTTATGTCTCATCGCCTCCCCTAGCTACTACCCCTACCCACTCCCAAGATACCATAGCAGCATAAACCACCTCTCTGCTTCGTCCTCCTCAGTCCCTTCTCTCCTTTCTCAAGCTTTGTAAATGAAAGACTAAACTTACTAATTTAAATTAATTAAAATAAAATTTAAATAAAAATAAATAAAAATTTTGTGCATTACCTGCACCCAGAGACAGGCTCATTTGAAAGTTTCTAACACTTTCCTAACTGCAGCCTTTACATCAACTACAATGTCTACATAGAAATATAAATATCTCATATGTAAATAAAAAACAATAGGCCCTGAAATTCCAAAATGAGGAACCGTGACAGGGATGGTGCAGGTGAGGTACGTGCTTTGGCTGTCCCTAGGAAAGTCTCTGAGGAACACACAGCCTACCTCACTACGGAAATAAGCGGCCTCTTCCGCACTTCGGCCTTATTCTCCTTTGGGGAGACTGTTCAACAGCCAGCTCAAACACAGGCTTACCTTGTATTAAATCCTCCTTTGACAATTTCTCTCTCTTATTTATGAATGGGAATCAGACATTAGGTCTGTGTCAGAACAAAAGACTAAGTCCATCCCCCCAGAGGCTCAGTGTAATTTTTTGATATTTTACTTTTAACCACAATTTACCATATTTTACCTCAGTTCTGAGTGGAGAAACTAACAACCTTGACTGATATTAACTCTGAATCTGGATAAAATCAGAACACTCACTGAGGAATTAGCTTCCACAGCAAAGCAAACACCGGCTCCTGCAACCTCGTTTTCCAGAAGCTTTTTTTATATTCTTGATAAAGACAGTTAAATACACATCACTTTGCAGATGTTTATCAAATGACATTTCCAACACTAAAGGTCCTCTACAGAGACTCTCCATATTCTCTTAAGTAAAATAGACTGCTTTAACGCTTTACTGTGATTTTAAACACAGTTTCCAAACATTTTATATAATTTCAAGCCATCCCACATAGAAATCTCTGCCTAACGGATCAAGGGTCCCCAAAGTCCTGTCAAGTGTTCCCTGGCTCATACATGCTGGTTTGTACTAGAGAGCTTCTCTAGAGAGCCACTGTCAGAGATGCCTGGATGTGGACACAGTCAGTGAAGCTCCACAGAAGCCAGTTAGCTGGAGGTTAAAATAGCAGGTAGGCTTTATTAAAAAGATGAAGGGCATATGTGTCACTGAGCAACCTTAAGCAATTGGTAGGTCCTGTATACTGCAGTGCTCTCTTTGGAAGATAAGCTCTTTACTTCTCCTTCCTCAAAAGAGGGAGAGATTGCAGTGAAAACATGATTTAATAAATTAATCAATCCAAAGCAAAAAAATGAAACCAATAAATAAAAATAAACCACACTATTTTATCCACTTTGCAAGAACCCTAGAGGTTCTCCCCCAGCCCTCAGCAGTCCTGCAAGCCGTTATCTATCTCCTCCCTCTGAGGTGGACCACTGACTTTAATTCCCCATCCCCACCTCTAACACACTACTCAAACCAACATACTCAAGCTGTCAGAATAGTCCAGCTTAATTTTCTCCAAAAAAACCCCAGAGTGAGAAAAGGAGGCAACCACAGCAGGAAGCAAGAAAGATAAAAAGTAAAACTGGGCAAGACAGTGTTGCATACTGGACCTGCATCCCATTCCCTCCTGTGACAAATTACAAACATGTCTGCAGCTAGTAGATGATCCGGAGTAGCTGTCGTTTTCAAAAAAAAAAAACCAACAAAAAAACCCAACAGAAAGTACAGAGTGTCACAGACACTGAAAAGGCTGTAGAATTCGAGTCTATAAATGGAGAAGGAATGAACAGGTTTTCATTCCCGAGACTCTTAGCATTTATACTTTTAACCAGAGTAAAGCAGCAAACACTGTATTTTTCCCCTGCACATCAGTAAAAAGCTAAAATAATTAGGATCACCAGTCTAGGATCTTCCCTCACTAGGTAAATGGCCAATGTTATGAGGAATTAAAAAAATTAAGGTAGATTTCCTTGAATACCTGACAATGTTGCAGCAGAAACTGCATTTGAGTAATGACCCCAAAATGTGTTGAGCCCATTTTTACTTCAGGTGAATGCTATTTTTTTATCATTTCAGCCTTGGGAAGTTTACAGTGAGTAGTAAATCTTATCTTTACACATCAGTACCTAATCAACATACTCTATACTCCTCTCCCAAGTCAAAATAGACTTTGCTGCTTCAAAGAAATCCAAAAAGACATGCACATGGCCCTTATGTAAAGAAGGCTGCAGAACATATTACCTTACTCATCATATATTCATAAATAACTAGTATGTGCAAGTTTATGTCAAAATATGGCCACTACTGGCCATAGCTGGACAGTTCATGGGCTCCATGGTACCACCAAGAGGCTTCAGTAAGGTTTCTGGAATAGAGATTCAGATGCAGGATTAGCGGGGGAGTAATAAATAGACAATCAGTCATTTTATGAATATTTTAAACCAGAATTGCTTATATTTTATCTTTTAAATAACAATTGGCTTTGGTTTCCTAGTCAAGAGGGACAATAAACTAGACTTCTGTCTTCATAAAAAGCATGATGCTAATCAAGTCAATCTGCAGCACACATGTATATTTCTTGACCACCCTTATGTTTAAGTTACCTTTAAAAAAGCAGCCCCCATGTCTAAGTAGTTAATAAAAAGTTGTCCTGGGTAAACAGTCATGTGTTTTTCAGTAGGGTATTAGAAGTTCTTGTGGTTTCTGAAGAAGCTTTTTTTCCATTTTTACAAGCAAGGTTTCTGATCCCACTGTCTTCAGTGATGCTTTGTCTAACTAAAATCTACGGTTAACAGGGTTGGTTCACCACACAGTTGGCCACATGCAGTTGAGCAGCAACACGGTCTACCTTTTCATCATACAGGTGGAAAAACTCTCACAGTAAGTGAAAAATGTCTTAAAATTAACTTAATCATGCAACTTCCATCAGACTGATACAAATCACCTGGTTAACACTCTATTTTCAAGAATAATACATTTAAAAATTGAAGCCCTTGAGTTAGAAACAAAGACGTAACTCGGCTTCTCTTGTCTGTTCTGCTCTTTGATAAGTCACAATATCTTTAGACTGCTGGTACATTTACAACATTCAAAACAGCAAACTGGTGGCTTCACAGTAACAAATAAGATTCCCATTCATTTAAGTAACACCCAGCACCACCACTATTATAAACTCTAGTAAGCAACTCTGCATAGCTATGAATATCTAAATACCTTTTGAAAACCAGACCAAGGTTCTCAGGAATGCTTAGAAAGACATTCAAAATAGAATAATATAGACAGACTATCCAAATCCCACAGCCAGGAACACAAATCACTAAAGAACTAGGGTCAAATTCCCCTTTGCTCAGAGGGCCTGCAGCAGTTTGCATCACTTTGCCTTATTCAAGTCCTCAAAACAGAGCTCACGTTAAAATATATTAACGTGATATATATATATATATATATATATATATATATAAAAAACGACTGCAAGGCAAATGAATACAATCGAGGTCACATAAGGAACAGAGCTGCCAAATAAGGTAGTTCCTTGTCCATAAAGTATTTTCCCAAGAATTACAAAGTTTTGGTACAGCAGGGTGAATTTTTGATAGTACACTAACCACAGAAAGCTCTTATTTCCAACAGCATTGTCAAAATGCATCTTTAAGACCTTTTAAGCTTTAGGTTTGCATAATTTGTTTGGTTTTTTAAAAGCAGAGTGCATGCAAATTGCTTGCAGCACTTCTATTTGGGAGATTATTTCAACAGCCTATTCTTGGGCAGCCGACTTGTAATGTTTCAATGTGCGAGCAGAAGGATCAGTAGCTTTAACCCATCTTGGCATCCAGTAGTGGGGCAGCCAGCTGCTTTGCCCTGAGTAGTGCTTTTCAAAGATCTGGCGGTAGTAATAACTTTCTTTTGTTTTAGGAGGATTGAAAGGATATTTCTCCACTGCCTTTTCCAGCAGAAGGTCATCAACCTATAGATATAAGCAAAACTCAAGTTAAGCTGCAAATACATGTAACTTTCACAAGTCGATTTGCTGCAAGTTAAAGACACGCAAGGATTTACCAACCACTAAATGCCCACAGGTTTAAAAAAAACCCTGTCTATTCCAGAGGCAGGCGTTTCTGCCAGGTGAATTTTTGTCACAGGCTCCCTTGATCTTTATGAATACATAACTGTATTTCCAATCCTGTTAATATTTCTCTCTGCATTGTACGTGAAGCCCATTTCTCTTTGGGTTACAAGCACCTTTGTTAGTAAGCTCACAAAAACTTCTTTCCTATCCTTCTCTTTGCTGTGATTCAACCGGAACAACTTAAAGCAGCCTTTTTTGCCATGTAAGCAGCTTCCTGTTTTTTTTTCCAGCTCACAGAGAGCTGTTGACTCTGCTTGCTCTTAGCAACAAAAGACCTGGGATGCAAAGACACCTGCAGTTGCTAAGGTGGCTAAGAAAGGGAGGATGAATAGTTGCACCAGTTGAGACAATTTCTAAGGCCGCTTCCACTGCCAACATGCTGTCTAACTCCTCACAGCCATGCAATAAATTTGCCCCTACTACACCAATACAGGCTCAGTACAGGCAGCACAACACTGTTGCCTGACCCAGCTACTTTCTTGCCTGAAAGAGAAAGAAAATGGGAAACAAGCAGTTGGTGGTAGGACAGACAAATACGCGTCCACAGGCCCGACTACACATATTTCTGTATAACAGAGCTCTGGTGTAAACTGGGTGTTATTCCTTCCTCTTGATGATTAAACTACTGTACAGCAGAGATGATTATCCTTTGCCCAAAGCAAAAATGCTGTAAGTCTTCATTGGTTAGCAATGCAAGCAGAGGCTTTAAAAAGCAGAAGGCTTAGCTAGGCATGGCTGGGAAAAACGAATGACACAAACAAGAAAGGACATTATAAAGTCATTATGCTGTTACTCAGCTGCAGAGTAAGTTCATGCAAGTGCCTTCAGCTGAAGCAGCTGCTTTGTGTGTAACCCAGAAATTGTGTTTGCTGACACACAATCTAATTTGTAATCCAGATACTTAAATAATGTTCATTTCCTTACACAGTCATTTGTGTCAGGCTCTAGCATTTCTTTGTATTTAGGATTTCAAATGCCTTTAATCAACTCAGACAGCTAGAAGACCACTGATTATGGTTTATCTTGCTCCTCCACCATGAAGCTCAAATTACTGTGATAACCAGATTTATTCTTCCAACTAAGCATGTGAGCTGCCTCCCCTTGGCAGCCATATCTAATACACCTAAATGTGAAAGACACAAAAAAAAAAAAAAAAAAAGTGGTATTGTACCTGTTGATCAATATAGTCCTGAAGAATAGAAAACCAGGATTTCTTTACTGATGCTATACCATCACTGAAAGCTTCTTTGGGTCTCCAGAGTATTTCTTTGGGAAGTAAGTTGGTATCTTCAAAGGACTGTCTTAAAAGGTATTTTTCAATTCCATTCTGTTTGCAGAACAACAAACAATGTTGTGAGTCTCAGGAATTGCAGTACAAAGATCTGGCTTTAAACATCTCAGAAATGGTTTCCTTTCAGAAAGTCTGGTCAGAAAAGGTTTCCCAGTAGTGCAACAATCCAGCAAAATATTTAAGAGCATGCTTGACTTTGGGTATAGGACTTAACCACGAATTCAGCAATTTGGTCATGCTTAGAACATGTATCAGTGAATTTGTGTTCTAATTGTGTACACTTGCATCCAACCCTAGTTTTACATACCTTTGGGATTCGCAGTTCTGCTGGTAGAGATAAATAATAAGAAGTAAACCGATGATCCAAAAATGGGACTCTCAGTTCAAGACTAAATAGGGGAAATAAACAGAAAAGATACTGAATTAATCCAACAAGTCATCTATTTACAAATTCTGTAACAGTTAAGCTTTCCCTGTCTTTCACATAAACACTAGGTTTTCTGCTCTTACTTAGAAGAAATTTCACTTGCATGTTCATGACTATCTGGATTCAATTCATCAATTTGGAACGTTAAGTATATAGTCTGCACAGATTAAATAAAGATCTCGATGATTTATGATGCCATCTGCTGGACAGCTTCTAGAACAATGAATTTAAAGACTACAGTCCTGCAGGATTTGCAACAACCGTTGTACCATGTAAGCAAAAACACACTGAAAAAAATCCTGTTGCCCCCAGAGAACTATCAAGTTGCTCACTGGGATTTGCATCAGCATTTGTAAAGATGTCACAGAACCAAGCAAGGATTTCTCCTGTCATTTCTGAAATCCACATTTGTTTGTGTTTTCAAGAAACAACGAAAAGGAGCCTGCATGGACACCATTAAGCTATTGGCTACTGATTCTGCAGCATTTGCACAAGTTCTCTCCTATACCAGTGGCAGATAGACACGAACAAAGTCTTTCTGCTTACATTCTTTTATGCATACCATGGCTTCTAAGGACACAGAAGGCAACAAATAAAATTACAGTAACTGTGTCTTCAGTAGGAAGAACCCCTCTCAGCGTGTTTCCTCAAGAGACTGTATGCTGCCCAGCTTCAAAGTCAAATGGAGATGTTATACTGCATTCTAGTAATTTCATTGTCTCTGTAGCTTCTCCTCTGATAAAAAGCTTCAACTACTTCACGTAATACCCACCTTCCCCAAAAAAAGCATCATCACTCAGCAGTCAAGTACTGAGGCTCAGTTTGCACATATACTGACAAGATTTCCATTGCAAGTCTTTCCTTACAGTTATTTTTTTCTAACTGATAAAGGTACTTTCATCATTTCCTCTCTACTCTTTCCTCTCCCTCATCATCATCTCCCCCATCTTTTCCTTCCTCCTCATCATTTCTTCTCCCTTTTCTCCATAAATCTGAACACCTTAAATTCAGTTTTAATTTGTTAATACAACGGTTCTTTCTTCCTAGCAGTGCTGTGAAGCTGACCCCAGCTTCTCTTCAAGAAATGGCAACTCTCCAAAGAAGAGCAGCCAGATATTGAACAGCCTTGGTCGGATATGTGGCCAAACTCTCTAGCACAAAACAAATTATAAGGCAAATGGCAGGCCTCCTGCACCCTGTCCATCTTTTATACAGGAAAGAGAAACCTAAGATATTTATTAAAAAACAGGCAAGTCATTTTGTGGCAGGATTAACATACAATGCAAGTTTCCCAATAGGTAAGTTGTTTATTTTGCTACAGGTACCATCTTTTTCTCATCTACAGCCAGCTTCTCAACAATATTCTCCTTTTAATTAATGTACTTCTTTAGTAAAATAATGCTATTTTTTGCAGTGCACAATTTGGTGATTCTTTAAGATATTGGTCACACAGATTGTATCCTAACATCTCTTTATTACAGTCAGCTACCCGACTCAATGCACATACTTTTCCTCTTTCAGTATGTTTTTCTAATTCTTCATACACATGCTGATTATCAGATTCAGGATTCCTCTTTGTCTAAACCTCAAAAAACCCCAAAGTCAAATACAACTTTGCCTTCCCTCTTTAACTCTGCATATTTATATTTCTAATTCACTGCTTCTATAAAGACCAGTATAATCCCAGCTAAAAGATACTCCTGCATCAGTTGGCAACACAGTGGGCCCTATAGTCACAGAAGACCAGATTAAATTTTGCAGCGTGGTTTGCTGTTGCTCTAATTCCTTCAGGCTACAACTTCAATTTCATCTTGGCATACAAATCCCCAGCAGTCTTTTGCTTCAGAATCAAGAGCTACTCTAAGCAGATGCAATTAATCAAGAGGTACTGTAAGCAGATGCAATTAGATTCATAGTGTCACTCCTCCTCTCTTACTGTTCAGAAACAGCACCCAAATCCACTGTCTTTCCTCATCCGCTAAAACTTTCTTTGGTAAAACACTGTCTGTAGCAATCACAACAGCAAGTTTGCCTCATAGTGTTTAGAACAGAAACGTGATTGATGATTACTCTGAAGACCAGATTTGCCTGCCCCGTAGACTGCTAGCCCTCATAGAATCATAGAATGGTTTGGGTTGGAAGGGACATTAAAGACCATCTAGTTCCAACCCCCGTGCCATGGGCAAGGACACCTTCCCCTAGACCAGGTTGCTCAAAGCCCCATCCAACCTGGCCTTGAACACTTCCAGGGATGGGGCATCCACAACCTCTCTGGGCAACCTCTTCCTGTGCCTCACCATCCTCACAAGTAAAGAGCTTCTTCCTTACATCTAATCTAAATCTACATTCTTTCTGTTTAAAGCCATTACCCCTTGTCCTATCACTACACGCCCTTGTAAAAAGTCCCTCTCTGCCTTTCCTGTAGGCCCCCTTTAGGTACTGGAAAGCTGCTATAAGGTCTCCCTGGAGCCGGCTCTTCTGCAGGCTGAACAATCCCAACTCTCTCAGCCTTTCTTCATAGGAGAGGTGCTCCAGCCCCCTGACCATCTTCGTGGCCCTCCTCTGAACCCGCTCCAACAGGTCCACATCATTCTTATGGTTGGGGCCCCAGAGCTGGACGCAGTACTCCAGGTGGGGTCTCACCAGAGCGGAGCAGAGGGGCAGAATCACCTCCCTCGACTTGCTGGCCAGGCTTCTTTTGGTGCAGCCCAGGATACGGTTGGCTTTCTGGGCTGCAAACACACATTCCCAGGTCATGTTGAGCTTCTTCTTAACCAACAACCCCAAGTCCTTCTCCGCAGAGCTGCTCTCAATCTGTGCTTCTTGCTGTGCTTCCCACCTGTGCATATCTGGAATGTTAGCAATGCCTGTTCTACCAAGGCAGGTGGTATCTTGAGTTATATTAAGACACAGAGCTCAAGCAGACTATGGGGTGCACCCCATTTGCTACTACTACTATGAAGACTGATGATCATCTTAGAGTAGTTTAGACCCAGACAGTAGGAATTATCTTGCATCACAATATTCTGAATCACTCAGTAATTCAAACAGTAACAAGTCAACAATTAACTGTCGTAATTTCCTCAACAGCAGCTGAACTTTTAAGATCTTCTTAGGCTTTTAAATCACATGAGTCCTCAGCATCCAAGAGACTATGTCTTACCCATGTGCTGCAGTAGTTCTGTCCGCACGAAGTACATCAAACAGATAGAGCTCCTTCAGAAGCCTCTCGCTCTCTTCTGCAGCTTCTTCAGGAGATGGCGCCTGTAACCAGACATAAGCATGTAGCACACAGACATAATACAGCTGTACTGAGGGAACTATTACTTGCTGTCCTGCGTTTGAGTTATAGTGATCACCAAGTGGTCTAGAACTAGCAAAGACTACATACAAGAAATAACAGTCTCAGGAATTCTGAAGTTTAAAAAAATAAATAAATTACTTTTTAGGTGATTAAATTAAATCCCTTGGATTTTATGCCACCTCAGGAGAAAGTCTCAACAAATAAACAGCTGTGAAAACTCTCAAACATAACACTTTAAAATCTCAGAGGTTTTCTGTTGAAGGGGAGAACGAGCAACTCAAGGGCTTTCTGTATAGGGAATATATTTACCTTATGGAAATATATATATCCTTGTGTCAGCTCATCTGATCCTTCTCCTGAAAAAATGACCACACTGTCTGTTTTCTTCCGTATATACTTGGAGACAAGATACATACCTTAAAAAAAGTATAAAGTTATTAAAATACAGCTACATGTATGATGCTATATACAGCTAGTACAGTTTTAAATTCAGCATTTTAGAAGTTCCTCTCCTACACTACTTTCTTCTGTAGCAAACAACTGCAATATGCTAAAAAATAACAATTCATTGTTATTCAAAGCCATCAACAGCCACACGAACTAAAGTGCTGCAAATACATCTAAACTGTGTACTTACTCTTAACCCTCAAAATATCAGAAAGATGTGTCTGTCTGATCCTGGGAATGCTGGAGGATTCCCACAGGAACACACAGAGGAGTTGTTCTGACTCAGTTCAAAATTAAGCCCATGATTAATTCCAGCACAGTCCTGAACAAACCTAGCTTTGGAGAACAAAACTACCAGCAAAAGTTGCTGTTTAACTCTCTGCCACTGCAGGTTGAACTGGATGAAACCCTTTCTTCAATTATTTTTTTGTAAAGAATTATTTATTAATCAGAATTATGCCTTCCCCTCATTGCATCTATCCAAACAACATGGGTTTATAACAAAAGTATTAGAGATCTAATGAAAAGGATGTAGTTCATTATTTCTCATACTAAGCAGCAATCACAAAGAAAGATGACATATGAAAAGCTGGCTTTATTTTTTAAAGAAACACTTTCAATATTTCACATTGCAAAGTCCTATCTTCACATACTAAATTACAGGCAGGGACCTGGATTTTCAAAACTGTGTTGCCTCTTTGGCTTATTAACTTTTTTTACAATGTTTTAGGCTGACACAAGATTAACTGGGTAAAATGCCGTAGCTGGCATTACACAGAAGGTCACATTGGATTAGGATTTTTCATTCTTATCAGGTTGGCAACCCTTTGCAAGAAGCTGCTGGTGACTTCCTTCGTTTCTCAGAATCAAACATACTTTATAAGAAGTCTACCTGGCTTGAGTGCACATGTGTTACTAGAAGGTGACAAGAAATACTTCACTTTAGTATTAAGATTATGCAAGGAAAGGGTAATCATAATCGTTTTGCTATCATAACATTCAGTACCTCAGATAACCTGTGAATTTTCCCCCTTCCTCCAAGGTTCATACTTATCAGAGCAGAAAACCTAGACCTGTAGATCTAACGTTTCTTCTTCAAATAACTTTTGGTTTTCATCCCAAAGCTTCAGGAGCAGCTCTTGACAATTGTTTTGTACAGTCAGTGTCTCTGAAACTAATAACTGCTTTTGCCTCAGTGTGGTATCACACACAAGACTGGAGAGCAGAACGTGGGAGTCCCGGTTCCCAGATTCTGTGACAGGTAAAGGATCTAATAGATGACTACATGATTTTGCGTAAAATGTTATTCCAGCAATATAAAGCAAAGATTGCTATTAAAAAAAAAAAAAAATCTTACCAATTGAAGCTCTTATTGTTGTTATATCATAGGTTTCCAAGGAGAAGATAACCTCCTCTATTGCCTGAATTCCCTCTTCAGAATTAAATATTACTTCATGATGTTCACTGCCTATATGTGCTGCCACCTGTTTGTAAAAGGTCACAATAATGTATTGCTTTTCAATTAAAACATTTTTTTAAACATACCCTGTGCTCAAAACACACACACACAGAGTGAAAGCACCAGCTCCCTTCTGCCACAGTGAGAATTACATGACATTAGGCCAAGAAAAGATGATACCGTAGCAGCCCCTCTGACTTGCAGTGGCGCATTCACCACAGGGAACACAGTCTCTGTAATTACAGTGTTCAATCATGATTACAACAGACCATCCAACTGCTTGCCCAAAGCATAACAGAATCTGTAGAGGCTCTAAATACTTCATATATTTGCTCAGAAGAGAAAAAGCAGTTCAAAAGCCGTAACAGCCTGGATACCTAAAGGGTACCCCAGATGCCAAACTGTTTGTACAAGGCTCTTAATTTGGTAAACTGATGATTAACTTACAATATTTAACATATATACAAATGCCATAGCATAGGAACCATAGCATGGAGATTTACCCTAAAACACAGAGGCAGAATTGAGACAACTCCGAAGTACCATGCTTTTGGTAACAATGCAATGGGAGTCTGTTTTCCAAATGCAAGAGAAAGCGAGTAAGGCTCAATTATCTCTTTTGTAAGATTTAACTAAGCAGCAAATGTTGTACTAAATGATTTACTGCAAACTCATTTACATCATAGCAATACATGAACATTCAGTGTTACTATTAATACCATACCATGAAGTTAGCACTATTAATACACACTGTTTAGCATTCAGCAGCTCAGAACAAACTGAAAGCAATGCTTACTATACCTTTCTGGCAGCCAGTAAGTCAGGACTGTTTTCCATTCCAATTGCAAAGGTTTGTAATGGATAATTGATGTTGATTTCTTTCATCAGTTTCAGAAGAACAGCTGCAACCAAGCTGGAATCTAAGCCCCCTGCCAAGAGAACAAATTATTTGGTTAGGTGTTTGACTGTTTTTTTCTTTCCCCTTAAGGACACTGAATCTAGATAGTGGAATCTCATGAGTGGGCTTCATTTTTAAGCCATGTGAATCCGAGGTACTTCTTGTACAAGTGCACATTTACCTCTGCTTAACAAGAGAATCAGGCAACTTTAGTGGAATATCTTCAGTAACTGTTGTTAGTACTTTTGGTGTCAGAAGCATCAGTGGAAATCCTTCTTTAACATACACAGAAAGTATTCTGAAAACATTGTACCACTACAGAACATGCCCCTTCTAAACTCTGCTATAATGGGATTTAGTCTCCATTTCAAAACTGCTTTCTATCCTCTTCCTACCTACACATTTGATACTCTACTGACAGAACTATGTAAATTTTTTTTGGTTTGCTGTTTGAATAAAAAGGAATTAAGTAAAAGAACAGAATGTTTAGTGTAAGGATTCCACTCTTCCCCAATCATTTTTCAAAAGTGAAAAGGTTCACCAGTGACATTCTTTTTTTCTTCCTTCTCAGAGGAGGACAATGGAAAGATTTGAACAGTTTGGAAACAAATGAAAAATAAAACCAAGAAATGTGCGAACTGCCTAGATGTACCCTAAGGCTCCACCTTCTTATTCTCATGAGCTAGTTCTGCTAATCCTTGACTAGTTCTACTTGCTGCTCCCCTTTGAAGTACTGAGCAAAACACAGTACCTGTCCTCCCACACCTGCCTGCAGTTCTGACAAGCATGAGGCAAAATCCTCTTCTCTTTGTTTCCCACAGTCTGCATGTGGTTTTTCAGCTGAGTGCATTAGCATTCATTCCCACCTCGATCCCCTTTGTGGGCATGCTACCTTGTAAAAAAAAAAAAATAATCTCTTTCTCTAGAAATTACATGCAGAGTCTGAGAAAAGGAGAGCACAGAAATCAAACTGAGTGCCTAGGATGCAGAAATCAGGGAAATCAAAACCTGAGTTTCCACTGTGAAGTTGCAGAACTCCCTCTGTGACTGGAAACAAAAGCACTTCTCCAACTGTGATGCTCCAAGCATACTCAAAATTGTGAAGCACTGAGATACTCTGGTATTATACCAGCATGGGCACTTAGTTTGCTACTAATACATTCTGCATGTGCATCTGAGGAGCTGCTGACTACCTTCTAATTTGGGTTTTGAACATGCTTTTTACTGAGGCTGGGATCTTCCAACTGTGTATTTCCCTGTTTCATTTACCTCCTTCCTACTTTTTATGATGCCACAGTAAGGAAATGGTCCAACAGTATCTCCTAGTCAGCCCTCTCTCATTCAATCCATATTTAATAGGGTTCATGATAAATGAGTGTAATTACTGATGTTCAATGAATGCATGAACAGCATATCAGAACTCTAACTACACGTACAAAGTGCTACAAAACCACACTAAATAAGATGTCAGTCCCATGGCTACAAAGCCTTACCTCTGTAAAGTACCTCTGTAACACTGAACCACCATATCACAACACTGATCAGCTAAGTCAGTGAACAACTTCCTGTACCACAAGCTATTACCTCACCTGAAAAAGAGTGTAGCAAATAATTTTGGTCCAGATGGTCCCCTGTAATTTGGTAAATCAAGGGCATTCTAGGATGGAGGCTAAAGCAAAGAAGGTGACAAGTATGAACTTCACTTCCTCCTGCTATCTGAAACATGCCAAGGTTTTTTTCTATGCTCAATCTGTGCAAAGTGAATATAACAATTACATTTTCAACACCAACTTAAGCATAAATCTCATATATTTAAGAGTATATTGGGTGATTTTTCAATAAGAATATTATATTTCTTTCCTCTTAGTTAAAAATGGTCAGTGTCTCAACAAGCCAGCATCCCAGCCCAGAGTAACCTTTAAAAGCATAAGACTTTCAAGATACTTGTTAACTGGAAAACTTTATCACAAACTAACAAGTTCTCTGTTCTCTGCTCTAAAAAGTGAATGAAGATTCAGATCACCTCAGGTACAGCACAGCAGAACAGTCAGTATGCTTTCCTCTAACTAGCAGAGGATGGGCAAAAGAGAGAGGACACAGAATTATTGTGACTCTTGCTACTTACCTGACAGAAGACAACCAATTCTTCTGTGAGCCATCAAACGTTTTCTAACAGCATTTTCAAAGAGAATACGGATGTTGCTTTTCACAGTTTCAAGATCAAAGCCTGTCCAGAAAAAAAAAAGAGGAAGCAAATTCAAGAAGTGTTACTCAGACTTTGCTGGATTATGCTACTAGGAAACAAAGATATTTGTCTGAATTTCCTTTGATAATGAGGGCATGCAAGTTCATCTTTGTACATGACTGCCTACAAAAACAGTTCTTAAGTCCCTACATTATAAAGGTTCTTCCAGGTTTTTTTTTTAAATGGCACTTTTTTAAACCAATCAATGCAAATTTTATATTCAAAGATTATATTTTTTTCACTTTTTAATCAAAATAAGTAGCAAATGCTTTGCTGTACTACCTGAAGGCAGAGTTTCCACTGTATCACATGCAACATGGAGTGGTTCATCTTTATAGCTATGAAATTTTACTAATTCCACTGATGCAACCTTGCCAGAGGGCTTTAAATCCAACACTTCATAATGACCCGGGAGAAACGGTTCCACTTTAGGACATAAGGATGTTGAATGCTTTAAGTTGATAAGTCCTACAGAAAAAATGAGGAAAAAAAAAAAGTCAGAGTTTTTGACCTAGGATAGTTAAGTCATACCTCACTCAACAGCCTCTGTACTAAAACTACACACAAATATTTTCTCCAGGTCCTAAATTTGGTATTAAAAAATATCATTTTGAGTCAGAGTCTGCCCTGGCTAGAGCATGATTCTGCTTCTGGCAGGCTGCACACAGCCATCTCAAGCTGAAGCAGACAGCAGAGAAAGGAAGCCAGCAAGTTTTACTAATTGGCAAGTAGCAATTCATCCCCATGAACATTAAGAAGAGCACTTTTCTTACTGACTACATGATATCCAGGTCAAGGTGTCATATGCTTACAAGAATTCAGATGACAATTGAGAACAGATTCTGTGTTCAAAATCAAGTGTAGTCAAGCTAACAAGGGGTTTGTAATAAAACTACATCACTGAAGTGATTGCTTAATTGACATTGATTTAGTGATTTCATAACTCATCAGCTCCAGACTGATCTACACCACTGGTAATGAATGCCAAGAATCAGACTTGTAGACAAACCTCATTTCCATTCCTCTTGGGAAAGAGGATGTTTTGCACCTGCCGGTCACTTAAATGCCCCTTGAGGAACTCCACAAAGGAGATACTGAATTCCTGTTAGAAAGGGACCGCTAATTCACTGTGATGGCTATAGGACACAGTCCCTAAAGTATTCTCTTCCCTTCTTCCTCCCCAAGAAGCAGAGATGGTACGGCTCTTAGTACCAGTATCTAGTACTACTATTAGAGAAGTTGACCTACATTGGAGTCTGATAATAAAATTGATATATAGTAAATGGGAAAGACACAAGTAATCGTAAAAGCCAATTTTAGCCAAAGTGCATTTTAGGCAATAAACTCCCTTTTGGCACTGTTTGGATTTGTTTATCCAAGTGTCAAGACTAGAGATAATTACTTAAAAAAAGTAGTGAATGTGTCATCTTGAAGGAAAAAAATCATCATCAAATTAAATAAGTGTCACTAGAAAATTACCCAATGCTGCAGGAAATTTCAGTAGGGTTTTAAAATTCTTGGCTTTTACAGATTAGCAGTTCTTGTGGCATTATTTCCCAGCTCACCATAGAACACTAGGAACAAATTCTATAATTTATCATAGCATAAATCTAGCCTAACTCTATACACTACATTTAACTTTGGGGTAACATAAAACATCTTGGGCTCAATACTGCTATGATTCCAGAACACAAAGAATTATAAAATTAAATAAGCAAGTTATTTTAGAGATATTAAGGACAATTAAACATCTTAGAGGTTTACTGTCTGTGGTTTTTGTTTTAATGACGTGTCGTTCTTATACTACTAAATATAGTTTATTTATTACTGAATTTACAGTTCACTTTCTCTTCATACTTAGAAGCCTGACAAAGAAGTTTGTCTCCGACAACAATACCTAAGATTATTTAGGCACTAAACACAACTGGTTTTACCTTTTGCCTCAGAACAGACACCCAAAAATCCATCATCAGTCAGCACCTTGAACAGTGGTCTGACTCCATATGTATCTCTTGCCAGAAACACTTTTCTGTTTGCAGTGTCCAGAAGAATGAAAGCAAATACACCATCCAGCATGGATGCAGTTTGTTCTATTCCTCCTCTGTTGTAAAGATGAAGGATAACCTCACCATCCACTAATGTTTGAAATTCAAATCCAAACTGCTTCTGCAACTAAGAAAAAATGTGAAGAAAAACATGAATAAGCATTTGCAAACATTGACTGCTTATTAATTGAAAAAACACCATTCATGTAATTGTTTAATAAGAAAAACTGTTTTGTTTTTTTTTTTAAATCACAGTTTAAAAGTTATATAGACATTTCTGACAAAGAAGGAAATTAGGCTTTTATGTTCGAAATATTATCCAGGATCATCTCTCAGACACTGTAGAATGACTCTGAAGTCTTAAGCAATTCACATTATGGCAAGTTTTCATGGATACATTTCTATCTGAGGATGTCAAACTGCAAACCCATGACCCTGGTCTTCAGAAGCAGTAGCCTGCCACAGACAAAAGGCAGAAGCAGGCAGCCACTGCTACTAAAAAAACCAACTCCAAACAGGACCAGAAACAAAGACATCATTTATTGTAGTCTCAAATCACTTGGTGCCACCTTCTTATCAGATAATAATAACATTTACATAAAACCCTCCCTGCCCCAAAACACATAGACACTGGTAACATCTCTGCAGAGTAAAGTACTTCAGAAATAAACTTTGGTTTACTTATGCAGTCACTGCAATTCCCCAGTGGTTTGATTTTTTTTTTTAGGCACAGAGAATTTCCTTCTGCCTAATCTTCCTCCATTCCTCTAACTAACCTTTTCACTCTGCCTGTGCAGATGGAGTGGAGGAAGAAGAAATTAGCCGTCAGACTTAAGTCAGACCAAATATTCTTCATGTTCTTGTAGTGCTACTCTTAAAGTCCTTTCAATATCTACCAGACAGGGGGAAAGAGGAGGTTTCAATAAAACACTAACAAGCCAAGAAACCCCACAAAACCAACACTTTAGCATTTTAACTTAAGTTCTTTGGTTTTAATTGTTATTTATGGGGCAAAGTCTTGGATCAAACCGAGTCAACATTGAAATAACTAAGTCATTGCCCTAAACAAGATGCCTGTTGCACCAACAATCCTTTCCTGGGTAGGTTTCAGCCACAAGCCTGAAAGAAAAATCTCTTTATAAAGAAAGAGGGTACATAATGTAGTGAGAACAACCCAACAAATTCCTCCAGATAGCCATGCAACTTCTGCATAATCGAAGTCCCCTTATGATTGTGTGTGTAGCATGACTGAGAGTAATTCTTACTGCTTTCAACAGCAGAAAAACCACAATGCAAAACACAGCAAGTACTACAGACTGTTGGTACAATACATTTCACATGTACTGCAGGGCAAAGTGTATCTCACCTTTCAAACAGACAGATACTTAAGAATTGGGGGTAGGGGGGAGCAGAAATCTCCTGCCTATTCAGTCAAATTCCCAATGACTGTACTGACGTCGCTGACAGCAGCCTGACTCTGACTTCAAAAATGTGATGTTAGAAGTACTAACACATCTCAGATTATTCACACGTTTCTGATACTACCACGCTCAGTTTATGATTCATTTTAAGCATGATTCAGAAACAGTCACAAATGTAAGCTGCTTTATACGCCAAATTTGGATGATCTGGATCACTTCCAAGTAACACAGGCGGCATGGACACCTCAGCACAGGAATTGAGGCACACAGACGATGATCAGCAGCAGTATTGCACCCATTAGGGACATTCAGACATGTTAGGAAGCAAGTACAGAGTTGCTGCTTGTTTTGTGCCCAAGAGACTTCCTTAGGTGGCTCTCAAAATCCCCACAAAGCATCTACCTTAAGCTGCAGACCCCTAAGGACTTTGGTGGCACACTGGAAACATCTCCCTAGTGCTTGCTGCTTTCACATAAATAATAAGCATGCATGCTATACATTAATATATTATAAGTGACATATCGTATCTAGATCGATATGCAGAAATAAAAATGCAATACCCAACAGCTTGGAGAATGACCCAAAATAACTGAAGAGCAAGACAGTCTAAAAGCATTTGCATTATAAAGAGAGAAGGGAAGACAGAGGCTTGGAATTCCCCTCCCCAAGAGATAACGAAGAATGCATCTTTATTTTAAACTGATCAAACCCGAAGATACAAATACTTATTGCCCTTGTTGTCAATTAAAAAACTATTTTTCAGTATCAAACAGTAAGTATATTACTAAGCCACCACAGATTCACAGCTCACCGAGATAATTTACTTCCTTTTAAACACTAGTCATTTGATAACTTTCAAATTTTTTTCTGATAATGTAGTCCACCACATTTTAAACATTTTCTTTTTTGGGGGGGAAAAAAAAAATTTAAAAAAGCGCCACATGATCCATACAACACTTACCTGTTTGAAATTGTAGATTTCTCCATTGTAACACAGCCACAGATATGGGAATTTCTTCACCCGGATAGGCTGCATACCATATAACTGATCAACAACCGCAAGGCGGTGGAAACCAAAACAACAGTTGGTGAATCCATTGACGTTCTCAAAACGAAACGCGTCGGGACCTCTGTGTGCTATCTTCATGGCACTTAGACACTGGACAGAAAGGCACTCATCGCTCCCAAACAGGGCCCAGATACCGCACATTGTGAGGCTGTTGATCTACCTGAAAGTGGACAACCCGCTCAATAAAGACATGAACATTATAAGCAAGAGCTGACACCTAGAAAACACAAATAACAAATACAGGCTATTAATCGCTTAGCAGTCAAGAGGACTGATCAAGAGAATAGCAGACTTTACTAACACGAGGGGAAACCCCGTTTGCCCAGAATATGATAAGCAAACTTTGGCCAGCAAGAAATTAGGCTTAAGTTTACCTTTAGGTACACCAAGGTACCAAGTAGATAAAGAGGGCTTACAAGAAAGATGAGGAGGGGCATTTTAACAAGGCCTGTAGTGACAGCACAAGGGGCAACAGTTTCAAACTGAAAGAGGAGAGGTTTGCCTGGGCAGGCCCAGACGAGAAAGGTGTGGAGGGAGCAATGTTGGTGCAGTGCCGTGCTCCCCGCGGCACGCCTTTTCCAGCCCCGGCGACCCTGGAGATAGAGGCCTTGTCGCTCTCTGAGTCCTCACTAATGGCAGAGGTGGGCTGGGGCTGGGGCCCTACAGGTCAAGTGATGGCACCGGGGACCTCAGCCCAAGCCCCAGGCTGCCACTGGGCTTAGAGTTCAGAGCGCCACAAAGCCCTACAGCTCCAGGGACACCGGGGCCGGAGAAGGCGCGCCGAGGGGAGCGCGGCACCGCACCAGCACTGCTCCCTCCGCGCCTTTCTCATCTGGGCAAGCGATGGCGCTGGGGACCTCAGCCTCCGCACACGGAGCGGGGCTTTCCCGACAGCTGGGGCGGCTTCCGGGCGCGCCACGGCCTCCGGGGCTCTTCCAAGAGGCGCCCGCAGGCGCCCGCCGCAGGTTCCCGCTGCCCGCCCGGGCCCCCCTCCACACGGCCGCCCCTTCCTCCGGCGGCTGCAGCGGCCCCCCGGGCCCGCCGCGCCCTCGCTCACAGGCCAGGGCAAGGCGCGGAGGGGCC